CATGTCTTAAAACTGATTATTATATGCTATAGAACAAGTAATTTAAAGGAAATTTAACAAGAAGCAAACGAAAAACATTGTAAAAGGTTGATCCTTCATTCATAAAAAATACTAATTGTTGCTCGCGACTTCGTCCGCGTGAAATAAAAAGATAATAAAATCTATATTACTCACTTGTAACGTAACTTTTTAATGGTGAGGTGAGGCTATTAAATGTTTTTAAGTTTCACGCGGACAAAGTCGCGAACGATATCTATTTTCTAAATGTTTTGGAACATAACAATTGTTTTTTTTTTCTTATATAGGTGATGGATATAATCCTGCACTGCGTGGACCAGTCCCACCTGAAGAGCAAGGGTCTGAACGAGGTGTTCCCCGCCATCTGCCGCTACAACCAGGTCTCGCACTGCCCCGCCACGCGCAGGATCGCCGGTTACTGCTTACATTACTTATATCCCCCCTTATATGTTAAACAGATATAAACTTAAGTATACACTTAATTAAACTTCTCCATTTTGTACTGCAACTGCAAATAGATATCCATACAAGAAGGGAGCGCCCTGGGCGGTTGCCCCACCTCGCCCTACCATAACGCCATTACTTTGTACAGTCTCTATCTTGTACTCGCTTTGGCTTGTAATTTTTGTCCCTTTCCCTCGTGACAATTCTTTCAAATTTATTTACCCCTTTAGTGTAGATACACGCTATAAAACTATATGTAGCCTAAAGCGTGTCGATTTGATTCAAAAATATGCTGTGATTGTTAAAATCCTATGTAAAAAAAATGGTAAGTTTTTACGCTTTATTATATTAGCATATATAGAAGTTATTCTAAATCCTATCGTCTAGGGAAATCAGTCCAAATATTTGAAAAGACGTATGTTAGATGTTTATTCGGTGTCCAGTGGGCAGCCACACTGGCCAGCTGGCGCTGTACGAGCTGCGCGCGGGACGATGCCAGTCGCTGGCGGCGCACGGCGGGCCAGTCACCGCCTGCGCCTTCAGCCCCGACGGCCGCTACCTCGTCTCCTACGCCACTGCCGACAACCGCCTCTCCTTCTGGCAAACCACCGCCGGTCAGTCATAGAACATACACAAACATCACCCACACTCATCACCAGCTCACTATACGTCCCCACTGAGGGGCTCGAAGTCTACTATAAGGGTCACTAGGCTAAAGTTAAATACGCTGGGCAAGTGCGGAATGTTTGACAACACACATATCTTTGAATTTTTTCCCGATATTTGTAGGCATCACGATGTTTTCCTTCATCGTAAGGACGTCGGGTAAATTATGTACATATAAAATTCGAACAATCGAAAATCGCAGTACATTTGCGGGATAAGAACCCATGTGTCAATGAACACCTGTAGATTATATCTTTTGGCATAGCTAAATGGATGTTTGTTTGAATGTATCTAAAAAACAGTTAAACAAATCTCGGTAGAACTTGACATAAATATAGAAAACTAGCTTTTGCCCGTGACTATCCGCGTAAAAAAAGGAACTGTCTACATCTATGTCAAATTTTATCGTGATCAGTTTAGTTGTTTAGGCTACAAACTAGAAGAAACATTAGTAAGATAGTCTGATATAATTATATGTTCTTTTTTTTAAATAAAATAGCGTGGACTAATATTGGCAAAAGCTAGTATAATAATAGTCTAGAATAGTATATCTTTTGATATGGTTAGTATGTATTGATAGAATACGTGCCAATTTAAGTTGGCATGTATTACCAAAGGACACTGCTATCCCCGACGTGCCAACTAACTTATAACTGTACCAGGTATGTTCGGTCTGGGCGCGGCGCAGACCCGCTGCGTGAAGTGCTACAGCACAGCGCCGATGGCGGACGTGG